TCAACACTAACCAACAACCTTCCCACTAACAACCTCCACACTAACCAACAACCTTACCACTAACAACTTCCACACTAACCAACAACCTCCCTATTAACTAACACCTTCCCCAGTAACAACCTCCCCACTAACCAAAAACTTTCCCAATAACAACCTCCCCACTAACCAACAATTTCCCTACTTACCAAAAATTTGTCCACTAACCATCAACCTCTCCATTAACCAACAACTTCCCCAAAAACACCCTCCCTACTAACCAATAACCTCCCCACTAACAACCTTCTCACTAACAACCTCCCAATTAACCAACAACCTTCCCACTAACAACCTCCACAATAACCAGCAACCTTCTCACTAACAACCTCCCCACTAACTAACAACCTCCCCACTAAAAACCTCCCCGCTAAGAAACACCTTCCCCACTGAATAACAACCTCTACACTAACAACCTCCCCACTATCCAACAACCACCCCACTAACAAACAACCTCCCCACTAATAGGCTCCTCTCTAACAACCACCCCACTAACAACCTCCCCACTAACAGCCTCTCCACTAACCAATAACCTCCCCACTAACAACCTACCCAATAACTAATTACCTCCCCACTAACCAACAACCTCACCACTAGCTAACAACGTCCCCACTAACTAACCTCCCCACTACCCAAAAATCACCCCTAATAAACAAGCTCCCACTAGCAACCATCCCAACAACTTCCCCACAAACAACCCCCACCCTCACTGACAACCACCCCACTAACAACCTCCCCACTAACAACCACCCCACTAACAACCTTCTCACTAACAACCTCCTCACTAATAACCTCCCCGCTAAGAAACAACTTCCTCACTGAATAACAACCTCCACACTAACAACCTCCCCACTATCCAACAACCACCCCACTAACAAACAACCTCCCCACTAATAGGCTCCTCTCTAACAACCATCCCACTAACAACCTCCCCACTAACAGCCTCCCCACTAACCAATAACTTCCCCACTAACAACCTACCCAATAACTAATTACCTCCCCACTAACAAACAACCTCGCCACTAGCTAACAACGTCCCCACCAACTAACAACCTCCCCACTACCCAAAAATCACCCTACTAATAAACAAGCTCCCACTAGCAACCATCCCAACAACTTCCCCACAAACAACCCCCACCCTCACTGACAACCACCCCACTAACAACCTCCCCACTAACAACCACCCCACTAACAATCTCCCCACTAACAACCTTCTCACTAACAACCTTCCCACTAACAACCTCCCCACTAACAACCTCCTCACTAACAACCTCCCCACTAACAACCTCCCCACTAACAACCTTCTCACTAACAACCTTCCCACTAACAACCACCTCACTTACAACTTCCCACTAACAACCCCCACTAACAACCACCCAACTAACAACCTCCCCACTAACAACGTCTCCACTAACAACCTTCCCACTAACAACCTCCTCACTATCAACCTTTCCACTAACAACCTCCCCGCTAACAACAGTCCCACTAACAACCACCTCACTAACAACCTCCCCACTAGCAACCACCCCGCTAACCAACAACCTCCCCACTAACAACTTCCCCACAACCAACAACCTTCCCCACTAACCTTTAACCTTCCCCACTATCCAACGACCTCCACACTAACCAGCAACTTCACCACTAACAACCACCCCACTAACCAACAATCTCCCCATTAACCAACAACCTCTCCACTAACAACCACGCCACTAACCAACAACCTCTCCACTAACAACCACGCCACTAACCAACAACCTCTCCACTAACAACCACACCACTAACCAACAACCTCCCCACTAATCAACAACCTCCCCACTAACAACCTCCACACTAACCAACAACCTCCCCACTAACAGCTCCCACACTAACCAACAACCTTCTCACTAACTACCTCCACACTAACCAACAACCTTCCCACTAACAACCTCCACACTAACCAACAACCTTACCACTAACAACTTCCACACTAACCAACAACCTCCTATTAACTAACACCTTCCCCAGTAACAACCTCCCCACTAACCAAAACCTTTCCCAATAACAACCTCCCCACTAACCAACAATCTCCCCACTACCCAAAAATTTGTCCACTAACCATCAACCTCTCCATTAACCAACAACTTCCCCAATAACACCCTCCCCATTAACCAATAACCTCCCCACTAACAACATTCTCACTAACAACCTCCCCACTAACCAACAATCTCCCCACTAACAACCTCCCCACTAACTAACAACCTCCTCACTAACAACCACCCCACTAACAAACAACCTTCCCACTAACAGGCTCCTCACTAACAACCACCCCACTAACAACCTCCTCACTAACAACCTCCCCACTAACCAATAACCTCCCCACTAACAACCGTCTCACTAACAACCTACCCAATAACTAATAACCTCCCCACTAACCAACAACCTCCCCACTAGCTAACAACGTCCCCACTAACTAACAACCTCCCCACTACCCAAAAATCACCCTACTAATAAACAAGCTTCCACTAGCAACCATCCCAACAACTTTCCCACTAACAACCCCCACCCCCACTGACAACCACCCCACTAACAACCTCCCCACTAACAACCACCCCACTAACAACCTCCTCAGTAACAACCACCTCAGTAACAACTTCCCACTAACAACCCCCCACCCCCACTGACAACCACCCCACTAACGACCTCTCCACTAACAACCACCCCACTAACAACCTCCTCAGTAACAACCACCTCAGTAACAACTTCCCCACTAACAAGCCCCCACTAACAACCACCCAACTAGCAACCTCCCCACTAACAATCTCCCCACTAAGAACCTTCCCACTAACAACCTTCAAACTAACAACTTCCCCACTAACAACCTCCTCACTAACAATCTCCCCATTAACAATCTTCCCACTAACAACCACCTCACTAACAACTTCCCCACTAACAACCCCCACTAACAACCACCAAACTAACAACCTCCCCACTAACAACGTCTCCACTAACAACCTTCCCACTAACAACCTCCCTACTAACAACCACCCCACTAACAACCTCCTCACTATCAACCTTTCCACTAACAACCTCCCCGCTAACAACAATCCCACTAATAACCGCCTCACTAACAACCTTCCCACTAATACCCTCCGCACCAACAACCTCTCCACTAACAACCTCCCTACTAACAACCACCCCACTAACAACCTCCCCACTAACAACCTTTCTACTAACAACCTCCCCACTAACAACCCCCACTAACAACCACCCCACTAACAACCACACCACTAACAACCTCCCCACTAACAACCTCCCCACTAACAACCACCCCACTAACAACCTCCCCACTAACAACCACCCCACTAATAACTCCCCACTAACAACTACCCCACTAACAACCTCCCCACTAACAACCTCCCCACTAACAACCACCCCACTAACATCCACCCCACTAACAACCTCCCCACTAACAACCACCCCACTAACAACCTCCTCAGTAACAACCACCTCAGTAACAACTTCCCCACTAACAACCCCCCACCCCCACTGACAACCACCCCACTAACGACCTCTCCACTAACAACCACCCCACTAACAACCTCCTCAGTAACAACCACCTCAGTAACAACTTCCCCACTAACAAGCCCCCACTAACAACCACCCAACTAGCAACCTCCCCACTAACAATCTCCCCACTAAGAACCTTCCCACTAACAACCTTCAAACTAACAACTTCCCCACTAACAACCTCCTCACTAACAATCTCCCCATTAACAATCTTCCCACTAACAACCACCTCACTAACAACTTCCCCACTAACAACCCCCACTAACAACCACCCAACTAACAACCTCCCCACTAACAACGTCTCCACTAACAACCTTCCCACTAACAACCTCCCTACTAACAACCACCCCACTAACAACCTCCTCACTATCAACCTTTCCACTAACAACCTCCCCGCTAACAACAATCCCACTAACAACCGCCTCACTAACAACCTTCCCACTAATACCCTCCGCACCAACAACCTCTCCACTAACAACCTCCCTACTAACAACCACCCACTAACAACCTCCCCACTAACAACCTTTCTACTAACAACCTCCCCACTAACAACCCCCACTAACAACCACCCCACTAACAACCACACCACTAACAACCTCCCCACTAACAACCTCCCCACTAACAACCACCCACTAACAACCTCCCCACTAACAACCACCCCACTAATAACCTCCCCACTAACAACTACCCCACTAACAACCTCCCCACTAACAACCTCCCCACTAACAACCACCCCACTAACATCCACCCCACTAACAACCTCCCCACTAACAACCACCCCACTAACAACCTCCCCACTAACAACCTCCCCACTAACAACCACCCCTCTAACAACCTCCCTACTAACAACCACCCCACTAACAATCACCCCACTAACAACCTTCCCACTAACAACCTCCCCACTAACAACCACCCCACTAACAATCACCCCACTAACAACCTCCCCACTAACAACCACCCCACTAACAATCACCCCACTAACAACCTCCCCACTAACAACCTCCCCACTAATAACCACCCCTCTAACAACCACCCCACTAACAAGCACCCCACTAACAATCACCCCACTAACAACTTCCCCACTAACAACCTCCCCACTAACAACCACCCCTCTAACAACCACCCCACTAACAACCACCCCACTAACAACCTCCCCACTAACAACCTCCCCACTAACAATCACCCCACTAACAACCTCCCCACTAACAACCTCCCCACTAACAACCACCCCACTAACAACCTCCCCACTAACAACCTCCCCACTAACAACCCCCCCACTAACAACCACCCCACTAACAACCTCCCCACTAACAACCACCCACTAACAACCTCCCCACTAACAACCTCCCCACTAACAACCCCCACTAACAACCACCCCACTAACAACCTCCCCACTGACCCTGGAGTCAACATAAACTCACCTCGGGCTCAGTAAAAGCTTCTCTCTGTCTAAAGACAAACTGTCAAGGTGTTTCCAGTGTTGCAGTTTGGTGTCCTTGGCGACACAACACTCGTCATGGCATGACACATGACAGTCGCGGGCTGTTATATGTCACCTGTCACTCACCAGCTACTTGGTATTCTCCACTTTTCTCTCTCTGCCTCACAACACTGCATTTTACGCTCTCAACTGTGTGCTAATGGCGATAATTTCAGCGATTTATTTCTTTCTGCGCCGCGGGTGGACTTCCTGTATTGCTGTAACTCAGCACACACTGCCTCCCGGCACCATACACCACACCTCGGTGCATGTAAAAACATTTACACTGTTTACGTTGCTGGGTAGCGCTGCCGTCAGCGCGGCCGTCAGCGTCGCCTACAGGAGTCAGCGGCTGCTGCCGCTGCTCCAGCCTGTCCTGACCAGGTCCTCCTGGCTCACTGGCTCGCCCCTCTCTCATACCGTATACACCCAACGCCATTCGTTCCATATTCACCAGCATCATTGAATATGCACCTTCACGACCCACTGTCTTCGATATTCCGGCGACTTGATGATTTACATTCTGGGGGTGATCACACCGCAGGGACCCCTCAGTGTTGGGGGGCACTAGCCACGGCTCTCACGCTCCAAGATGCTCTCTTCTCCCTCGCCTACCTCTCAGATGCAACTCCCGGAACTGTTTCAGCGTCTCATTACTGGACTTAACACCCCGGTGACAGACGGCATAGGTAGTCCAGCGGCGCGCTTGCTGAGACTCGTTGTCAGCTTTATATTATGTCGTGGTCTTGTGGTTCCTAGGACTGATACATTGATGATGTGGTTCCCAGGACTGATACATTGATGATGTGGTTCCCAGGACTGATACATTGATTATGTGGTTCCCAGGACTGATGCATCATTGGTGCAGTCGTGGTGTTATGGTGCTCAGGACTGGTGCATTGATGATGCTTTTATGGTTTCCAGGACTGATGCATTATTGATGTTGTCGTGGTGTTATGGTTCCTTAGGACTGATGCATCGTTGATGTTGTCGTGGTCTGGTGGTGCTCAGAACTGATAAGTCTTGACTGCTAGAAGACACTCAGGTGCCGGGATGGGGAAGGGGAGGAGGAGTCGTGTGATCGACGCAAAAAAACAACATTTTGCATCAAGCGTCTTGACTCTAAAACTTGATTCGCGACAAAAAAGCTGTGTCCGTCGACCTTCATTCACCTGACACTGGCGACAGACATCTATGTATGTCTGCAAATAAGAATGGGGCGCTTTTCACGTTCAGCACAAGGAGAATCGAGTCTGCACTACAGTTTGCTCTGGATGATCCCCATACAGCTTTAGCTCTTCATATGGAAATATTAACAAATCAGGGAACAGTTGGGGTTTGAACCCATGGCGAGCAAGTCTTAAAACTCACAGGTTAGAGCGACCCTTTACCATCCCTTGTGCTATGAGGTGGCGAAGGATGAGACAAACCTGTCTTGCTGACCCCATAACTGACCTCAGTTGACCCCGCGGCCAGTGTCACTGCCACGGCGGTCAGGACCCGACTCAAGCTCGGGGCGAGGAGAGGTGGTCGTGGTGGTCCTCGTCATCTGCAATTCTGCGGCGGCACTAATCATGGAGTAAACAAACTCCACGATCTCCTCCTCCTCCTCCTCCTCCTCCGTCGACCATCTTATTCTTGGAGTGGCCGCTGCTTTGTTGTATTAATTTGTAAGGTAAAGAGGCTCCTCCTGTATAGTTGATGAAGGGGGCCCTCGTGTCTGTCGATAGCTCTTTTATGACGGAGAGGGGACGCCATTCTTGTTTCCCCTCACTCTTTTTTTCTGCTAACTTAAAAATTTTGTCTTACATCTCATGTTTCTCTGTGTTATTCATTCCTTCATTCGGCGAATCCTCACTTTTTCCATAAATTACTTACATTTAGTGTCTTTTTTTTTCGTGTGTTTCTCTGAGGATTTCTTGAAGATTACCTTGTTCATGGTTCTTGATCTTCCGTCTCCCGGAGAGACCCTGGTGGCCGGAATCAGCCTCCTGATTCAGCTTCTTGACCGACACTCAAGGCTGCCACCGCTGCACCTCCTGACGACCAGCGGTAGCTGCTGTTGCTACTGGTATTGCTGCTACTGATGTTGCTGCTACTGGTGTTGCTGCTACCGGTGTTGCTGCTACTGGTGGTACACTCAGCCTCTCCACTCGGCTGTACCGTCCGACAGTCCTACCCATGATGCACAGTCTTTTGTACCGTCAGTCACTGAAAAATGTTACTGCTCCTGCCACCGCTGGATCCTGACTACCCACCTCCCTCTTCTCCGGTTCACATTATACGCCTAATTACAATATTAATTATACAGTTCTTGAATACTTTGCTTTCTTCCCCTCCCCTCTCTTTCTCTCTCTCTCTGCCAAAACTTCCAGAGGACATTCTGCAGGAGAAAACGGTATTTATTTCTGCTCGTTTTTTACCGTTAATTTTAGTCGTTGATTATTCATAGGAAAGTGATTAACCAGTCGTAATGTGACGGCAGTCTTGATGGCGTCAGAGATTAACTTTAGTTAGAAATGAACCTCAATCGTTGCTGCAGATCACTGCCTGGGAAATTGAAATTAACTTCCCCTCCATGACCCTTCCTCCTCCTCCTTCTCCTCTTCCCCCCCAAAGAAAAGAAAATATATAAACGCTGATGATGTAAGGAAAACTCGAAATTCGGGGCACTTTATGAACATGAAGCACATGAGACTCACATGAACACGGCGTTCAACACAAAAATCAAAGAAACCATTTCCATCCTCGTACTATTTTTCTTGCTTGGATTTGATGGTGGGAATTTTGCTTGTGGACTTTTCCATTGGTCATATATCATCCATTAAGTGAGCTCGCTTGGCCACACTGATCCATAAGGGAGTAGGGCGGTGAGCTCTGATACAGTGAGGCTCCACAATGCTTCAGTCCCGTCCCACAGCGCTTCGATCTCGGCCCGCTGCCAGCTTCGACTCAACCTTCCTTCGCGCAGGAGGGCGGTTCCTGCAGCGGGCGGACACCGGGATGTCCCGCGAACGCTGGCTACTGGTAATAGTGGGGGCATGATGTATAATGTGACGATCCGCAGCCTCATTACGACCGGCCATCAGTATCTATAAACTCCGGGACGTCACACACACAGAGAGCCACAACTCATCACCGCTCTGCCAAATACTCGCTGCCGACCCACTCTAACTCGCATTTGAAGAAGAGAAAAAGTAAATGAATTTCCCATCCTTCCTACTCCACCCCCACCTCCTCCTCCATCTTTATTTCTCCAGAGAACCACTTCGTCTTCACCCCCACTCTTCCATTCCCTCTCCAACAACCCCCCCCTCTCACCTCCCAACCTTTCTGAATTGGATTGATAAAGCTTCTGGTTGGAGAAACGTCTTCACCTTGAAGATATCCAAGTCTTGTTTATCTCCTCCTCCTCCTCCTCCTCCTCCAAATTCTTTCAAAACCATTTCCTCCTCTCCCTCCTCTTCCTCCTCCTCTTCTTCCTCTTCCTCCACGGTACATAATTCATTTTCCTCTTCGTAATTGCCTTTTTTTTCCTCACCTTCCCTACCTTTCTTAAGATTCCTTTCATCTCTGTTTTCCCTATCCCTCTTTTCCCTTTCTTCTCTTCAATTCCTCTCTCTCTCTCTCTCTCTCTCTCTCTCTCTCAGAACAGAAAAATAATAGAAAATCTATGGTTCCTGAGATACCGGTGTTGCCAGTGTTGGAAATGTCGGTGTCTCCTACCCTCCTTCAATGTCTCCTACCCTCCTTCAATGTCTCCTACCCTCCTTCAATGTCTCCTACCCTCCTTCAATGTCTCCTACCCTCCTTCAATGTTTCCTACCCTCCTTTAATGCCTCCTACCCTCCTTCAATGTTTCCTACCCTCCTTCAATGTCTCCTACCCTCCTTCAATGTTTCCTACCCTCCTTCAATGTCTCCTACCTTCCTTCAATGTCTCCTACCCTCCTTCAATGTTTCCTACCCTCCTTCAGTGTCTCCTACCCTCCTTCAATGTTTCCTACCCTCCTTCAGCGTCTCCTACCCTCCTTCAGTGTCTAATATCCTCCTTCAATGTCTCCTACCCTTCTTCAATGTCTCCTACCCTCCTTCAATGTCTCCTACCCTCCTTCAATGTCTCCTACTCTCCTTCAATGTCTCCTACCCTCCTACAATGTCTCCTACCCTCCTTCAATGTTTCCTACCCTTCTTCAATGTCTCTTACCCTCCTTCAGTGTCTCCTACCCTCCATCAATGTTTCCTACCCTCCTTCAGTGTCTCCTACCGTCCTTCAGTGTCTAATATCCTCCTTCAATGTCTCCTACCCTTCTTCAATGTCTCCTACCCTCCTTCAATGTCTCCTACCCTCATTCAATGTCTTCTACTCTCCTTCAATGTCTCCTACCCTCCTTCAATGTCTCCTACCCTCATTCAATGTCTCCTACCCTCCTTCAATGTCTCCTACCCTCCTCCAATATCTTCTACCCTCCTTCAATGTCTCCTACCCTCCTCCAATATCTTCTACCCTCTTTCAATGTTTCCTACCCTCCTTCAATGTCTCCTACCCTCATTCAATGTCTCCTACCCTCCTTCAATGTCTCCTATTCTCCTCCAATATCTTCTACCCTCCTCCAGTGCCTCCTACTCTCCTTCAATGTCTCCTATCCTCCTCCAATATATTATACTCTCCTTCAATGTCTCCTACCCTCCTTCAATGTCTCCTACCGTTCTTCAATGTCTCCTACCCGCCTTCAATGTCTCCTACCCGTTCTTCAATGTCTGCTAAACTCCTCTAATATCTTCTACCCTCCTTCAATGTCTCCTACCCTCCTTCAATGTCTCCTACCCTCCTTCAATGTTTCCTACCCTCCTCCAATATCTTCTACCCTCCTTCAATGTCTCCTACCCTCCTCCAATATCTTCTACCCTCCTTCAATGTCTCCAACCGTCCTTCAATGTCTCCTACCCTCCTTCAATGTCTCCTACCGTCCTTCAATGTCTCCTACCCTCCTCGAATATCTTCTACCCTCCTTTAATGTCTCCTACCGTCGTTCAATGTCTCCTACCGTCCTTCAATGTCTCCTACTCTCCTTCAATGTCTCCTACCCTCCTCCAATATCTTCTACCCTCCTTCAATGTCTCCTACCGTCGTTCAATGTCTCCTACCCTCCTTCAATGTCTCCTACCCTCCTCCAATATCTTCTACTCTCCTTCAATGTCTCCTACCCTTCTCCAATATCTTCTACCCTCCTTCAATGTCTCCAACCGTCCTTTAATGTCTCCTACCCTCCTTCAATGTCTCCTACCGTCCTTCAATGTCTCCTACCGTCCTTCAATGTCTCCTACCCTCCTTCAATGTCTCCTACCCTCCTCCAATATCTTCTACCCTCCTTCAATGTCTCCTACCCTCCTCCAATATCTTCTACCCTCCTTCAATGTCTCCTACCCTCCTCCAATATCTTCTACCCTCCTTCAATGTCTCCTACCCTCCTTCAATGTTTCCTACCCTCCTTCAGCGTCTCCTACCCTCCTTCAGTGTCTAATATCCTCCTTCAATGTCTCCTACCCTTCTTCAATGTCTCCTACCCTCCTTCAATGTCTCCTACCCTCCTACAATGTCTCCTACCCTCCTTCAATGTCTCCTACCCTCCTTCAATGTCTCCTACCCTCCTTCAATGTCTCCTACTCTCCTTCAATGTCTCCTACCCTCCTTCAATGTCTCCTACTCTCCTTCAATGTCTCCTATCTTCCTCCAATATATTATACTCTCCTTCAATGTCTCCTACCCTCCTTCAATGTCTCCTACCGTTCTTCAATGTCTCCTACCCTCCTCCAATATCTTCTACCCTCCTTCAATGTCTCCTACCCTCCTCCAATATCTCCTACCCTCCTTCAATGTCTCCTACCCTCATTCAATGTCTCCTACCCTCCTTCAATGTCTCCTACTCTCCTCCAATATCTTCTACCCTCCTCCAATGCCTCCTACTCTCCTTCAATGTCTCCTATCCTCCTCCAATATATTATACTCTCCTTCAATGTCTCCTACCCGCCTTCAATGTCTCCAACCGTCCTTCAATGTCTCCTACCCTCCTTCAATGTCTCCTACCCTCCTTCAATGTCTCCTACCGTCCTTCAATGTCTCCTACCCTCCTTCAATGTCTCCTACCCTCCTCCAATATCTTCTACCCTCCTTCAATGTCTCCTACCGTCGTTCAATGTCTTCTACCGTCCTTCAATGTCTCCTACCGTCGTTCAATGTCTCCTACCCTCCTTCAATGTCTCCTACCCTCCTCCAATATCTTCTACCCTCCTTCAATGTCTCCTACCCTCCTCCAATATCTTCTACCCTCCTTCAATGTCTCCAACCGTCCTTCAATGTCTCCTACCCTTCTCCAATATCTTCTACCCTCCTTCAATGTCTCCAACCGTCCTTCAATGTCTCCTACCCTCCTTCAATGTCTCCTACCCTCCTTCAATGTCTCCTAACGTCCTTCAATGTCTCCTACCCTCCTTCTATGTCTCCTACCCTCCTCCAATATCTTCTACCCTCCTTCAATGTCTCCTACCGTCGTTCAATGTCTCCTACCGTCCTTCAATGTCTCCTACCCTCCTTCAATG